ACTGAGGGTTATTCTCAACAGCTTGTTTACTCCAATCCTCGCCTTTAGAGCGATTCTCGTACCCAAGAAGATAGTAGGTCCTCCCCTTCTTGTCGGTTTGGGCGAGAAGGTCATCGCTCCCAAAATCGTTGTAGATCCTAGCCTCTCTGTAGTTCCATGGTGCCGTCACGAAAAGGCAGAGCCCAAAGCGCTTGGCGAAGCGCTCACGCTCCCCATTGCGAGCACTGGCCGAGGCTTTTTGCTTATCCTCCTTCGACTTTGACTCGTTATGGGCCTTGCGTTCTGCCTCCATCTCGTCAATGGTCCTCTGGACTTGGTCAACATCAGCATCCTCATTCGCATCATCTTCAGCTTCTTTGTGTGTGTCCCAATGACCCTGGGTCCAGGTCGCTCGTACCTGATCCCGGTTTCGCCCCTGATTGTTCGTCTGGTGCTTTCCCCCGGTGGGCAGGTCTGCCTTACGCTCTCGTCGGCTTCTGTAGGCTGCCTCATCGGTCAACGCCGCTTCTCTTATAGTAGTCTCCAGCTCCGTCAGGCTTCTCACATCTTCCCAATCTCTGCAATCTCCACGCTCTCGCGCTAGATCTTGCAGTTTTCGAACCGCATCCCGCTCGACAAAGTTCGGCAGTGCTCCGATGGCCTGCCTTACGAGCCGTTTCCTCTCGGAGACATCATCGGCATATACACTCATCAGGAGAGTGTACGCTCTCCGCAGCTGGGTGAGGAAGCTCTCGATCTGACCGGAGTTGTCACACTTGAAATCAGCGACGGCCTTGTGAAAATAGTCCTGAAGGTGATGGCGACGACAGTGTCGCCATCTGAGCATCTCTTTCAGGCCAGCCCATCGAGGAGTCCTTTGCTCTCGGATCCATGTCTGAGCTTCCGTGGCTAGGCCGATTCCCCTCAGACTCTCCCCAACTTTCGAGAGTAGGAGGATCTCGAGCTCGGCATGGGGTACGAAGGAGCCGTCCTTCCCGTTGTAATCCCCCATGCCGTAAGCCGCGAGAATGGACTCCTGGTGTTCGATGTGAGCCATCAACTCTGCTTTTGACTCGCATTGACAAAGGGTCACTCTCGCTACGTCCCTCGGGAGTGCACGGAAGGAACTCTTTCTCTCGTGGTCCTCCCTGGGAGCCAAGTGAACCGATTTCTCGAGGGGTGAAACCGCTTGCTCACTCTCCCTTCGACGCTTAATCTCGGGCTCTGAGTCATGTCTGGAATCCCTTTCTCGGCGTAGCTCATGGATGGCATCCATGAGGTTCCTGGCAAATCTGTCCTGCTGATCGAGGAGCTGCTTCCTCAGCTCTCGCTGCTCCTCAACCAACCTCTCTATCGCTTCTTGGAATGCTTCGCCAGGTGTCTCTCCTCTAGCTGGCCCCTGGGTCCCATGGTCGCTCGCATCGTCAGATTCTTCTCCGAGC